GTCCTTCTTTGTCTTTTATGGTGGATTTTGTTTTAAAGTCTATTTTATCTCAGATTAGTATTGCCACTCCTGCTCTTTTTTGGTAGCTGTTTGCTTGATATATTTTTCCATCCTTTGATTTTTAATAAATTTACATCTTTGTTTGTAAGATGTGTCTCTTGTAGACAGCATATTGATGGATCCTGTTTTTTTAATCCATTCTGTCACCCTCCATATCTCTATAGGTGCGCTTAGGCCATTTACATATTCAGTGTAATTATTGATAGGTGTGAGTTTATTGCTGTCATTTTGTAGTACTTTTTTTTGTGGTGCTGACGTTTTCTTTGTTCCTCTTACTGTCCTGTTCTGAATTCCTTTTTTTTTTTTTGGATTTTTTTTTTTCATTTCTTTTGTTTTTGTAGGTTTTGTGTTTACTGAGACTTTGTTTTTTTTCTTTATTTTGATGACTAGGTTTGTTAACTTTCTCTGTGGTTACCTTGAAATTTACCCTTATCTTCCTAGGTTTGAAGCAGTCTATTATTAGTTGGTATCGCCTTGCCTTCCTCTCCATTAGAAGGTTCCATACCTACACCGTTTATTACCCCTTGTATTGTTCTGATGCTTTTGTCATTTATAGATTAACCTCTCTGGTTCCCTGTTCTAATTCTTTTGGTTTTGCATAGTCCTTAAGAGTTCATTTCCTAGGTTGGTATCTGGCTAGTACAGTCCTGTGTCCTGTATTCAGCCTGTGGTCTGATGTTGTTTGTTCTCAGATTGAAGGACTCCCTTTAATAAGTCTTGTAAGTTTGGTTGGGTTTGGTTTTTAGATAGTCGCTTAATTTCTGTTTATCTGGAAATGACCTAATTTCACTATCATATCTGAACGAGAGTTTTGCAGGATCTATTATTCTTGGCTGGCAGTTTTTTTCTCTCAAGGTTCTATATATGCCATCCCATTGCCTTCTTGCGTACATGGTTTCTGCCAGATAATCCGAGCTGAGTCTTATTTCTTCTCCTCTGTGTGTGACTTCTTGTTTTACTCGAGCTGCTCTCAGGATTCTTTGTCTTTGGTTTTAGTGAGTGTGATTATGATATGCCTTGGGGATTTTCTTTTGAGGTCTATCCTATATGGGGTTCGTTGAGCTTCTTGGATGGTCGGCTTTTCATCTTTCATGATATTGGGGAAGTTTTCTGTCAGCAGTTATTCAGTGATTCTCTCTGTGTTTTCTGTGTTCTCCTCCAGTTCTGGAACTCCGATCACTCGCAGATTTTTGCTTTTGATTGTTACCCACATAATTCTCAGGGTTACTTCATTTTTCTTTGTTCTTTTTTCTGATTTTTCCTCAGAGTTGTAGCCAAGTGTTTGTCTTCAGGTTCGCTGATCATGTCTTCCATCGCTTCAAACCTGCTCCTCAGCCCTTCTATGACACTGTTCATTTCTGAAATCTTGTTGTTTACTTTTGGATTTCTGATTGTTGTTTTTGTATGATTTCTAGATGTGAATTTATTTTAGCATTTTGTTCTTGTGTTATTTATTTCTTCCATTTTTTGTGTATTTTCTATGAATTTGTCTGCCTTTTCCATGAATTTGCCAATTTTTTTCTTGTTTTTGTCTGCTTTGTGCTTCAACTTTGGATAATTTTGAATATTAGAGATTTGAATTCTCTATCAGTTAGTTCTAGTGCCTTTTCTTCTACTGGAAGGTCATCTTGTGTTTTATTTTGGACGCCTACTGGAACCATCCTGTCCTGTTTTTGTATATGTTTTGATATTGTCTGCTGTCTTTGGGGCATTCACTAGTCATTTTCCTTGTTTATTGATTGTAGATTTGTTTGTTTCGTCCTTCTTTTTTGTTTTATTTGGTTATGTCTGAGCAGGTGGCCTGTGCGTTTTTTTTTTTTTCTCATCTGTGGGCATGGTACTTTTCACTTCCTTCTCCGGTGGGCAGGGTCAGTTACTCAGGTATGGTACAGCAGGGCAGGACCAGCTGAAGCGGAGTTGCTGGGATGGGTTGTTGTGCGTACTAAGGCCGACAGGGTGGACCAGGAAATCAGTGCAGGGCAGGTTCTGGTAGGCCGTGCCTGTGCTGTTTGGGAGTATGACGTTCAGCAAGTGGTGCAGGTAGGCAGGAAGTGGGGGGGAGATTGTGATGTGTGGAGCTAAGATGGATATGGAAAACAGAGAGAGGAGAGAGGAACAGGATCCAAAAACATACAGGCAAACAAAAAAGACTGTTAAGGGAGCTTGCTATTAGAGTGGAGAGATGAGAGACTGAGAAATGGAGAAAAAACAAAAAGAAAAAGGGTAAAAGAAAAAAATGAATAAATAAAAATTAGAGGAAACATAAAAGAAAGAAAAGCCCCCAGGGATCCCACCGATGCAGCTGTTAAGACTGGGGAAGTTGCTCCCAGGCTGTGAAATGCAGTCTGGCTGGAAGGGGTTTAGGTGTTACACAGAGCCAGGTATCCAAGAGACAGGAAGAGAAGATCAGTATATAGAGACGAGAAAGTGGAAATGAAGAAATACAAAAAGGGAAAAAGCGAGAGAAGAAAACAAAACAAAGAAGAAAAAAAGAAAAAAGAAATATACCCCCTGTGATGTCACTGTGCTTCTGCGCAGAGTAAGGGAGTAGCTCCAAAGCCATTCGGCACTGCCCAGCTAGAAGGGGCCCCTAAGCCACAAAAATAAAAAGAAAAGAAACAAACAGAACAAACAAACAAACAAAAAGCCCCGGGGGTCCCACCAGCGTGGCGACATGGGCTGGGAAGCAGTCTCACAGTCGAGTGGTGCCTCGCAGTCCCCCAGGAAGAAGCAAAGATGGCATATGGAGCCAGGTATTTGAGAGAAAGGAGGAGGAGGTGGTGAGAGGTAAGGAAGAAATCTAATGAAGCAGAACAAAGCAACACCAGCAGCCAACAAATGGCACTCAGGGGGCCAGCCATTGCGTGCTGGTGGAATCCAAGTGACACTGGGGTGAAGCCAGTGCTTCCCGGTCAAGAGACTGTGGCCGCAGTAAGAAAAGCATGCCAAGCGGGGGTGAAGAAGGGTGGTGTTGGGAAGGCGTATATCGCTGGTTACCGGTTGTTCTGTCTCTTGCTGGAAGCTCCATGTGCTGTCTCATACCCTCTGTTTGCTGATCTCCAGTAGGAGTCCAAGATGGCAGATCAGTGCTGCAGTAGCAGGGAAACTCTGCATGTATCTCTCCTCACTCTCTGTTCTTGGTCAGTTTCTTATTCCATCTGGTGCTTGGCTGAATCCTTTATCTCTTCATTTGATGCTTAGGGTTTCAGGATTGATGTGTGTCTCTGTTTGACTTAGTTTTTCTGATCTTTGCCGTGGAGGGACGGCGTGGTGCTTCTGTCTATAGCGGTATGTTGCCCGAAGTCTCTAAAATGTATTTCTTTTGAGACTTTTGTTGTAGCCTGACAAATCTGTGCAGGAAAGCATTGTACTAAGAAAAACTGATGTCCTTTTTTTTTATTATTAAAGGGGAAACACATATTGCTGAGTTTTATATTTTCTTCTGAAATAGGGGCTTATATGTTTTTTATTCTCAACAGAGTTAGATTTCTGGAAAGAGTTCACACCAGCCCCAGGGAGAAATTCTTGATTGTGGGATTGTTTCATACTGAAATAGCCCAAATGGGAAGCCTCAAAATTAAGAATTTAGTCTAATTGGGAATCCCTGGGTGCTGTACACGGTGAATATGCTCAGGTGCTAACTCTTTCCAGAAATGTAACGTAGTCTAACTTAGTTTTGGTACGTGACCCTTTTGTTTTGTTTTTTCATTTTCTTTTAGGACTGGAGAGAGTTCCTACAGAGCTTGTTTTTCTTTTCATTCTTCCTACAGTGAGGTAAGAGGACCCCATATGCTCACAGCCTTACTGCTGACCACTTTGCAGCTTTCAGGATTGAGAACAACAGTGCCCTGACTTCCGGACTCATCTCTCTGCTGCTCAAGATCTAGTGCAACTTTTCCTTTAGAAATGCAGGGAAAAAAATCTCAGTGGGTGAGATATGCTTACCAACTATAAAGGAAATTGCTGTTACCGCCTTGTTTTCAGCCTAAATACTGAAGAATATGAGTGATTAAAGTTTTCTTCCCATCTTGCTTCCTAAATGTATTTTAACATTCCCTGTTCAGTTGTTCTGTCCACCTACAATAAAAGAATCATAAATCTTATTTGAAGGAGTACTATAGAAAAAAATCTCACTATAGCTAACCTTAAGGTACTGCCCAGATTCCTGGCCTCTTCCGAAATTTGGTTGTACTGAAAATGCATTTAAAAAATAATAACGATCAAGATACAGGCATTGTCCCTTAAGAAAGATAAAGTATAATAGAATTACTCAACTTAAAAGGGCTTAGAAATGTTTTGGTTTTTTTTTGGGTTGGGGGGGTATGATAACTTTATATAGGAAGTTGACCTGTACTAGAATGGGAACTTGATATGTGTAATTTATTTGCAAAATTCTCATGCATTTTCAAAATGCAGAGATTCAGTGATTTAACGTATTAGAGAAAAAGCAATATAAAAGCAAGCTGTTTTTGGACTCTGTATGTAATATAAATTTTGCTTTGCCGTTTCTACACTTAAAAGTCTATTTCCCTGACAACCATTATCTTTGTATTTGGGGTCCATGGATTCAGCACTTCAGCAGTGATCCGTGGATGTGTTAATGATTTGAACAGGTGTGTTCTTCTAGAAGCTCCAGGTAGCGGCATTCTTATCAAGTCAACCATAATGTTATAGATGATTCTTTATCATGTTATCAAAATATCACATTAACATCTCTATTAAATAACTGAACTTTCATAAACAGGTCATCTGAGAGCAGTTTTTTATTTTTTTTATGGTTGTGCTTTAAGTGAAAGTTTATGTCTTGGTTATCTGGTGCTGCTATAACAGAAATACCACAAGTGGATGGTTTTAACAAAGAGAAATTTATTTCTTCACAGTCAAAGTAAGCTAAAAGTTCAAATTCAGGCTGTCAGCTCCAGGGCTCTCTCAGCCTTCTCATCCGTGTTCCCCCAGACTAGGAGCTTCTCGGCACAGGGACCCCGGTCCAAAGGAGGCGCTTTGCTCCCGGCACTGCTTTCTTGATGGTATGAGGTCCCCGTCTCACTGATCACTTCTGTCTTTCATATCTCAAGAGATTGCCTCAGGACACAATCCAGTCTTGTAGACAAGGTCCTGCCTTACTAACACAACTGCCACCCATCCTCCCTCATTAACATCATAGAGGCCGGTTTACAACATACAGGAAGATCACACAGTACCAGGAATCATGGCCTAGCCAAATTGATACACACATTTTTTGGGGGACATAATTCAAACCATGACAGTTTACAATTCAAGTTAGTCTGTCATACAAAAATTTATAAATACATTGTGTTGTGACCCTACTTGTTCTCCCTGTACTGTGACAGCACAGTCTTCTTTTCCACCCTGGATTTCCCGTGTCTGTTTAACCAGACCCTGACCCTCTCTGCCTTCTCATCTTGCCTCCAGACGAGAGCTGCTCATTTAATCTCATGTATCTACTTCAGCTAAGAAGCATACTCTTCACAAGTATCATTTTACCTCCCATAGTCCAGTCTAATCTTTGTCTGAAGAGTTGGCCTCGGGAATGGTTTTAGTTTTGGGCAAACAGAGAGCCCAGGTGCCACATCTTCCAGGGTCCCTCCAGTCTCAGTTAAACCATTAAGTCTGGTCTTCTGCGCCTCACTTTTCTCCTGCTCTATCAGGGACTCTGTTGTGTTCCCTGTCAGGGCAGTCATTGTGGTAGCTGGGCACCATCTAGTTCTTCTGGTCTCAGGCTGATGAAGTCTCTGGTTTACCTGGACTTTTCTGTCTCTTGGGCTAATACTTTCCTTGTGTCCATGGTGTTCTTCATTCTCCTTTATTCCAGGTGGGTTGGGACCAACTGATGCATCTTAGATGGCCGTTTGCAAGCTTTTAAGACCCCAGACACCACTCACCAAAGTGGGATGCAGAACATTTTCTTAAAAAACTTTGTTATGCCAGTTGACCTAGATGTTACCTGAAAGCATGGTCCCCAGACCCCTGCCCCTGCTATTCTGTCCCTTGACATGTTTGGTTGTATTCAGGAAATTTATTTTTTTTTAATTTTGCTTATTGTTGTAGTTTAAATGAAGTTTACCTTTCAAGTTAGTCTCCCATACAAAAATTTATACATACATTGTTATGTGACCCTAATTGCTCTCCCCATACTGTGACAGCACACTCCTCCTTTCCACCC